TTTGCTCGAGCAGTCTTTCTTGTGTTCAAGCGATTTTTTACAGTCTGCAAAACTACTAGAAGTGAGGTATTTTCGCTCAAACGGTCTTTCTTGTGCTCGAGTAGCCTTTTGCAGGTTTAAACTTTTGAGAGGGGATGTTTGTGCGTTCGAGCAGTGTTTTTGGTCGCTTGAGCGATGTCACTTATTTTGTGTTTGACACTCGAGTGGTGTTTTGGTAGCTCGAGCGGTCTACACGTATATCTGTCCGAGAAAATGTTTTCTGAGTCACTTTTTCATTTCTCTCTCTCTCTCTCTCTAAACATTTCAAAAACTCTAGTTCTTCACTATGTCTCTCTAGTTCTAGTATTCAAGCTCTAAATACTCCCAATCTATTGATTTCTTTACTCTAACCCCTTGGAGAAAAAGGTAGAGCATATCTAGAGCTTTGTTTTAATCGGAGGAGTTATCGTTTTTGGCTCCGCAAAAATTCAACCCTTGCTCTCTCTTGTCTTCTAATCTTGAGGTAGGGATTTCTTGTCATGACCCAAACCTGTCCCTAGAAGTTTGGTTCATAACCGACCAATAATCACTTGATTACCTATGGCCTCATACAAACATACAAAATAATTATAATAATGGGGTCATAAGCGGAAGCATATCACAAATGAAGAAGTCCATTGAGCTATATTCAAAACCCTAACTCTTTTAAGTGTTGAATCCTTAAATTCCTCTTGATTTCAAACAAAAGATAAGTTATATACAATGATTCTTGGTCGATTTTCATACCTTAGCTCAAATCTAGGAGTTTCCTTTTGAATCTATTCCAAATCCCTAGTTTTTCTTCTTTCTCTCTCTCTCTCTCTAACTCTCTCTAGCAAATGCTCTCCACAAAGATGAACTCAAGATAGCTAAATAAGTATATAATGTAGGCCAATTAACTTAATTAAATCATTATGAATCGTAATTTTACAAACTTTTACAGTAGGCTCTAAAAATCATGCTAAATATAGATATGAAGTCGGTTTTGGTTTGGCACCTCTAAGGCATTTAATTTCCATTCAAAGTCGTGATTGTAATAGATATCTGTACATCCAACAGATAGAATTCTAAATTACATAATTCACACACTTAAACTTCCAAATTCATATCAAACACATAATCACATGCATAATTAAGCATAATATGAGCTGGGTTATCCATTTCTTACCTGAATTATTTGTCTATTAATAGAATCTAGTTATTTGGGGATTTTGAGTTAAACCTAGGGTTTGGTTTTGAATTGAAAAAAAGGGGTCTTCAAATGGGTTTTTGAGAAAGGTTGTGGGGATGTGTTTATGATTAAGATATGTTAAAATGGTGAATTTCTTTACTTAAAATTGATTTTGAAAGAAAATGGGGTTTTGTTCCAAAATCATAGATATTGGTTTGTGAGAGAGGATGGAAATGATGTTGGGTTTTGT